TTTCTAGCAAACCTGGGGTGGTTGCAGAATGTTATATTTCTTAGTTCTTGTGACAAATTTGAATATGTGATTATCGTGTGCACTAACTTTCCATCCGACAATAATAAAAGCCAAACACATGTTAGTACCCATTCATCAAGCATAATGCAACTACAATTCTTCTTTTGTCTTCTATGTTTGTGTTATTCACTGTTTATGCAGCTAACACATAATATTCATCGTGTTAGCTACTACTAGTACATGACTTAAACAAATAACATTCATAAAGATACTTTGAAAAACAAATAACAAGTTGTACGATCAAATTTTTCTCACAAGTAAATAAAAAAATGTTGTCCAAGCTGGAAAACCGAAGCAACTAACTGTGATGTGTCGGGTTCATTGGTGCATGAAGCAATTAACTACAAAATTTGGCTTCTAATGAAAATAATACCTTTTTTTTTTATCTTTTCTCAAGCCTAAAACGCTTAGATCAACTAGTAGATTCAACTTTATTGAGGTTAGGGTTGGGGCTTTCATTAGAACCAGCAGTTGGATTGACATCCATATGCTCTGCTATGGCAGCAAACCCTCTCTCGCTAGGGGTCTATTCATGATCGCCCGTGGCAACGACTCCACCAAACATACAATCTAACTTTTCTTCAAACTCAGGATTAATACCACTGAACTTAATTTTTTTAGTATTTGGAATGACCTACAAATTAATGGATTATTCACCGCCACCAACACTAACGTCATGGTACAACATCTCCACCAACAACATGACCAACATTGCACAAATAAACCATCACCAACAGCACCACTAGAAACATCACCACGAACACTACCGCCAGCATCCACACACATACACACACCACTATCACCACCACGTCACCACCACCATATCACCAAAAAACTATCACCAGCACCCACACACAACCAACATCACCACCAACAACCGCTACCACTATGGCACAACATCACCACCCCCAGCATCTACACCCACCACCAACAACACCACCACCATGGCACAACACCACCACCAACATGGCACAAAAGCATCACCCACACCAGCACTACAAACACCACCACCAACATAGCATTGCCTAAAGCATCTACACCCACCACCAACAACAACACCACCATGGCACAAAAGCATCACCCACACCACCACTACAAACACCACCACCAACATAGCATTGCCTAATCCAACAAAGAGGGCAACCACTAACAAAAACCAATCAACAAGTAGAGCAGCAAGTCTACTTCAATTGAACCAAAAATAAAATAGAGGGAAAAGCCCCAACTGAGCAAGCCGCAACAGTAAATAAAAAATTCCTTCCAATGAAGGCCAACAAATCAACAAAAATCGAACCACAAACCATGAATTGCTAGCATTTGCATAGGGCATCAATTCATTCCCTTCACACAAACTCTTACAAAATATAATAGAGAGCACAAGCCAGAGAGGTAAAGGAAAATGCCAGAAATCTTAAAGAGGCTCACAAAATCCTTCCAACATAGACGATAGAGCAAAGGCCGCACAGCTAATGAAAAAAAAGCAAAAACAAAAACCGCAAAATAGACCAAAGCCGAAAATCGCAAGGAGCAAGACACACAGGGCAAACCTCAAACCATAACCTAGAATATCAACAACAATAGTGTAGGGTAGAGATTACTGTAAGGGGAAATGGGAGAGTGCTATTGGAAACGGATATCAGAGAGAACGGAGGAAGGAAGGAGAAAAGATATGCCACCGGAACCACCGACCAGAGTTAGGGGGGAGAAGAGGAGGAGCTTGAGCAGACAATCGCAAGAGAAGCACGACAATAAGGGGTCGTGGGGTCCAACAACTTTGTGAGGGCAGGGAAATAATTTTTCGCGAACAAAATACAAGAGGGGGGGTCGAACCCGTGACCCACGGTTCATTGTATTATCCAAATAAGCTGCTGCAGAGTTTTTTTCAAATGCACCAAACTGCAGTTTGAAACCGTGCCGCAACTAAGACGCTACCCCAAGCACACCCTGTATGTTGGCATCTCGCAGAGAAACCTTTTGCAACTTGGCCAGCCTATCTACTAATCTCTAATACATAATAATTGTAGTGATGGAGATGACAAGCAAACGGATTCCAATGTTGAATCAAAAACCATAATATTAGAAAGCCCAATCTCATATGAAGATTTCACCAACACGATAAGGAGAAACCAACATAAGTTCTTGTAGACAAGAATATGAATCAGAAGATGGCGATCTCTTTTAGAGGGTGAAATTAACCTTCAAGGTATAGGAAAAAATTGATATCGTTAGTTTGATTGATGCATAGAAGCTCATTGTCTAGATAGATCAACTTGAAACTTCAGCCTATATGTTTTCACTTCCTATGAAATGGTTTTGTTTGCTCATCTTATACTCACCAAGCTCCCATTGACTTTGACTGAGCACTCATATTTGTGTGTGTCATAACATCACTTGCGTGCAATTTAATAAACTGTTTTGCGAAGAATTGTAGATGGAGGAAATAACATGGGTTGCAACATAGATAAGGTCAAATTGTGTGAGATTATAATAGAGTTTAGTACATAAACTTTGTCGATTGTTGCATTAATACAGAATATCTCTACATTGACAAAGTTCACGACAACACTCATGTAACTTATGCCCTTGATATTAGTCAAGTGAGCACGTTGGCCATGATGACCGAGAAAAATAATAAGAGCAAATGCAATGAGACCTAAAGCAGGATGAAAGGATTAGAGAGAAGTGGAACTGAAAGAGTTTGGATAAAGGTAATTCTGCTGCCTTGTTTTTGTTATAGAAATAACCTACATTGTGTTAATTGCCAAATCTGAGGCCAGTATTGTGAGAAATGCTTTATCAAGAACTTTTTCAGAAGAAGTTTGAGAAGGTTATCAAGAAGAGGTACGTTGTTACTACTATGAATAAGGTTCAAACATTACAATTAATGAATTGATCACGCTACAATGAGGTACGTTGTTACTATGAATAAGGATCAAACATTACAATTAATGAATTGATCACGCTACAAGTTTTGTTTATGACAATACTGAAGGGAAAAGCCAAGTAGGACACATTTTGCTAATAATCACGATGTGTTGTCCTCCTTGATTATCCAACTAAATTAGGCAATTTTCAATGCCATCATTGAGTTAGGGAGTTATTAAAATTTGATCGAGACAAGTTTGGTCAAAAGGCTGGGCCTCAGGAGGATTCCTTGTCCACTTGGATGAATTAAGGACTTTTAGATACGAATTGATCAGTAATGTCTTGTTTATTTCAGAGTACATCGATGAAATGACGTGTTAAGGGATTACTAAGGTACAATATCAATTGGAACAAGGTTTATCAACTTTCGGATATGGTGTTTGGATAGGTGAAGTCTTGAAGCGGATGATAAACATGTGTTGATTTTTCATTCTTGTCTTTATTTCACATGAGAAATCTAATTGGAATGTTTAAGCATTTTTCCGATGAGATCCATGAAGAATCAAGAGGAAACAAAATGACTACTGTCCTTAGACACTTTGGAACCGAGGTTTGAGACTACAATAGCTGGTAATGGCTACGGAGAGCTTTTTTGAGGATCCCAACGCTCCTAAAATTCCTCCACGATGAAGATTTTTGATGTTGAGGAGTGGGATGACAGCTTCAAAAGAAGCCACATGATCCAAAGCATCAGTCCAGCCTCTGTAGGTTTCCTTGGACATGATCTTAAACTTCTCAAGAGGCTGTGCTTTCATAATCTCTCTGGAAAAATTATTCTCCAATTGCACCCTTCTCTTATTTCTCTTTCCGTCTTCCCTCTTAGAGGACATCTCACTACCAGGAGAAAAAGTGTCGTCATTATCTCTGTTAGCCGAACTTAAAAGTAACACTCATGGGCCCTTTTGCTGCCTCCTCCTCAGCACTGAATCAAATAATTACATGGATATCTCCACACAAAAGGCTATTCTGGGAATATGCTCGACAGCATTCTTACTCTTTCTAGTCAGACTGTTTGCTGTTGTAATTTACCTCTTAAGATACTCACCTTCTAGTTTATGGCATTTTCACACTGATCATACCTAAAATGATGTCGGATCCGTATGTGTCCATGGGTATACCGCCTAGACCGGAACACCTGAGACCTAAGTCCTGAATAGAGAAAGCTCTGAAAAGGTGGAAAAAGAGAAATCTTTTTTTTGCCTGAAAAATCAGGAGGAAACCTAAAAAAATAAGAATGTCCCCTTCTCTTTATGGTTTGGTGGTATACCCTTTTGATATAGTACATGAGGTGACTAGAAATAGGTAAAAAGTACACATTGTATAAAATATTAATGCTTGGAATGCTCAAATTTGGAAATGACATTTTGGCAATGAGTAGATCCATATTCTTTAGCTTTGTATGAATGGCAATGATGTAACAGCGACGGAACTTGAGTTGACTTTAATCAGGCCGAGCTGCAGTTTGCTTAGTATGGGTCAGTCATCAGGCGGGTTGCCTTGGACCCTATTGTCCTTTATTGTGCCGGGTTTGCCTCGTTTCTCGGGCAAGACTCATGCTGTGATTCCCCATGGGCAGTCATCCAATATGTAACCTGCTTTCATTGTACTTCCCTACATACTGCATTTAAGACAGATCTTCATCCCTTTCCGAGTTCCAAATTAGAACTCTCATTACGTGAATCAGGAATTGTGGAGAGTGTTGAGGGGGTGGGGTGTGGTGGCGCAGTTTGGGGATGTGTGTTGGAGATTGTTGAATGCACCATCATATTAGCATCCATCCTAGCTTTTTTCTTACTTATATGCAAGAAAACTTTTGGCACTTGGGCTTGGGGAATAGGATGTCAAAATGACGGAATCCCTACTTACCCATTGACATTACTCATTCGTTTCTTTTCTTAACCCGATGACTTTGATCACCTTGTCCATGTGTAAGGAGAAGTAATGAAAAAGTGTCTTTTCTGATACTTTAGCTAGTCTCTAGTTCATTCTGATTTTTGTTTGTTGTGGTTAAGGCTATCTATAACCAACTTTTAGCCATTATAAAATTAAGTTTTACCAAGTATCAATACTCAATGTGAATCACTGTAACCCCTTTTGTGTTTTCCCTTTTTTTCTCAGATGTCTATGACAGGCTCGTTCAGAAAGGAAAGAAAGCTGGATTCCTTCAGCTGTTGGCTACACAGACTGTTAGTGCTGTTTGGCATGTGAGTGTAATTGTTCTCTCTTATAAGCCAAACTTCTTGTATACTTCATACAACTTTTTTGATGCATTGATACTTCGTAATATTAAAATTTGCAATTGCCTAAAATATGAGACATGACGCATGCTCGGCACATCTTGCATGTGCTGGACACACCATCCACATGCCCAATTTAAAAATTAATAAATCAACAAATAAATGATATGATCACACATGCATGTCATTGGATGAGTGAGATAATGATGGCAAGAATGACAGAATTGTGGAAAAGTTGAAAAATAATGCTTTTAATTGAAAGAGAATCAAAATATGACTTTGATAATTAATTTAGCTAGATTGCCTCTTTTTAATAATAAATTTAAAAAAAAAACTCAATTATGATTGTATGCATTTCATGTTTATTTATGTATAATTACTATGTCGTGTGTGTGTGTGCTAGGGTTTCGCCCGATGGCGAATCCTAGTAGCAACTACGTCTTCGCTCGTCTTCACTGGGCTTCGCGCTCGACTCAGTTCGTCTCCCTCGCTTCTTCTCTTGCTCTGAGACGCGTCTTCCCGTCTCGCGAGATTTCCTCGCTCTGCCGTTCATCCTTCTCGCGTAGCGGTTCCTCTGCGGCCCGGCGTCTCTGCGGCTCCGCTCCTCTGTCTCACATTCTCACGTTTTTCCTTTGCGGCTCTCTCTCACGGGTGCGCTCCTCTGCGGTTTCTCTGCGCTCACTGCTTTCTCTCTTCTTCCTTTCAAAGCTTTCGGTGGCTTCGGACAGATCGTATGCAACTGCCCTTTTCGGTGTCCGCGCCTCAGACACACCTAAATCGTCATTTTTTCCTTCTTCGTTTGAGTGGGCGGAGGACATTAAGAAACTTGTTATGATGAATGGGAAGAGTGTCATATTTTTAACAAAAGCTGAAGGTATTCAATTTGTTTCCTCCTGTCGTCTGAATTTGATTGGAAAATTTCTATATGGTCATCCTAAAATGGAGTTTCTCCGTAAGGAATTTGAGCTTATGCACACTGTTGGGGAGTGAAAAATTAAACTTTTAGATGAAAGACACATCTTTATTCAACTTAATAATGAAGAGGATTACACACACTTATTTGCTAGAAGATTAATCTGGATTGATAATAGAGCAACGAAGATTTTGAAATGATCGGTGAATTTTAATAGACGGAACCACGAAACATTCCGGTTTGGATTCGTCTCCCTAGTCTATTTTTCTCAAAAAGTATTATATTCCATTGTCTTAGCTTATGGAAAGCCACTCAAAACGGACATTCTTACTTTTAATTTTTTTCGTCCATCTGAAGCCAGAATACTTGTTGAAAGAGACATCACTATACCCACTTCTGAGAAAATCTGGTTGGACACACAACGCCAAGGATATTGGCAAAAGGTAGAGATTCAGATTGAGCATTTTCCGCCGTATTGTTCAAACTGTCGTATGTTCGGACACTCCAGTTCTCAATGTCATCATCTGTACCCCCACCTCAGACCAAAAAAGCAAATTGTTCTGCTAGAGGCTGTGATTCCATCTTCTCCTGATCAGCTCCAAGTTTTTGACACTATTGATCATCAGAAGGATACCCCATAAGACGTCACTTTCCCCGCAGGTAATATGTCAACCATTCAGTCCCCACTTGTAGCTCCCCCGTCTTCGGAACCTCTTATCGTGAAAAAGAAATTCTCCAGACCACACCTGCTTTAGAACCTATCACTGATAATACAAGTGGAAATATTTATATTCCATTGTTTTAGCTTATGGAAAACCACTCAAAACGGACATTCTTACTTTTAATTTTTTCCGTCCATCTGAAGCCAGAATACTTGTTGAAAGAGACATCACTATACCCACTTCTGAGAAAATCTGGTTGGACACACAACGCCAAGGATATTGGCAAAAGGTACAGATTGAGCATTTTCCGCCGTATTGTTCAAACTGTCGTATGTTCGGACACTCCAGTTCTCAATGTCATCATCTGTACCCCCACCTCAGACCAAAAAAGCAAATTGTTCTGCTAGAGGCTGTGATTCCATCTTCTCCTGATCAGCTCCAAGTTTTTGACACTATTGATCATCAGAAGGATACCCCATAAGACGTCACTTTCCCCGCAGGTAATATGTCAACCATTCAGTCCCCACTTGTAGCTCCCCCGTCTTCGGAACCTCTTATCGTGGGGGAAAAAGAGATTCTTCAGACCCCACCTGCTTTAGAACCTATCACTGATAATACAAGTGGAAATATTTTTACTGTTTTACTACTGTCTCATCAGGTCCAGAAAAATGTTGGTATTACTCAGGCTCATGGGGATCATGATGTGCAACGACTTACAACTGTCCGACCACCTTTGGAATCTACTGATCAAATGAGTTAATCATCGGATGAGGAATGACAGGTCTGCACATCCAAGAGGAAGAAGAAAATGAAAATTTACTTGAGCTCAGGAATCTGATGGATGACACTTTCGTTACTACTGGCAATGGTACTTAACTTACTAATTTATTAGTCGGTTCACTTCCGCGAACTAGGGGCAGGAGGCGTTACTACGGGCAATGGTACTTAACTTACTAATTTGTTAGTCGGTTCACTTCCGCGAACTAGGGGCAGGAGGACTAAAGTGGGACGTCCCTTGCACCTTTGCACCTTTGTGCCCTTTTGTGGGTTTTGGTTTTTTTTTTCATTTATGTATCTTTGCTTTATTTGAGTTTTGTATGTGTTGTTTTGCATGAGTTAGGCTTTCTTTTAGGCGCTCTCATGCAATATTTCTGTATTTTTCTTCCGTATTAATATATTTGCCCTTGGGCTTTAATGAATATATATAATATGTGTTTATGTTGTTTTGTGTTCTTGTCCTCAAATCATTGTCTTGAGCATCATGGTCCACCTATATATTATTTAGATATTGACAAGATTCAAAATCCATGGTATGTAAGTATTTCATATGTTTTTATTGTGGTCATATTGTTTGGACATGCAAGTAAACATTTCCTTTTCATGGGGCCAAATGCAGGGATTGTATCCTGGCTACATCATATTCTTCATTCAGTCGGCTCTAATGATTGCAGGTTCCCGAGGTAAGTTCTTATGCAGGTTTTTTCTTTAAGTTTTTTTATTTGAACTTTGCTTAACGAATTGTGTTGTTCTCTGTATTTTTTGCAAACAGTAATTTACCGATGGCAACAAGCTATTTCACCAAGGAATGCTTTGCTTAGCAAGATTCTGACTTTAACCAACCTCTTTTACACGATAATTGTTTTGAACTACTCCTGCATTGGGTTCCTGGTCAGTTTTCTGTCTTATTTAGATCTTTCTTTTACTAAAAAGAAGCCTACTTATTTGTGCTATTTTCTTAATACAAGTCTAATATTATTGTTTCTAATTTTTCGATTTTATCCACTTTGTTCTGGCTTTTTTGGGGTAAAAATTTGTTCTGGAAATTCAAACCTTGTGAGCTATGATTATTCTTATTTTTTCTCTTTTCACGAAGGTGCTGAGCATGAGAGAAACACTTGCTGCCTACAAGAGTGTGTACTTCGTTGGCACCGTTGTTCCCATCATATGTATTCTACTGGGGAAGATTATCAAACCAGCCAGACAGGTTAGGGCTAAAGCTCAAAAGAACCAATAAAAGTTCTTGCGGTGATATGAGAGATGCCTTGCAGATTCTGTTTATCAGGTAGACCAAATCCTTTTAATGCGGCGTCAAACTGATCCCTTTTGTTCATCTGTTATGTTCGTGTAGAATGAAACGGCTAAGCTTGGCATTTGAGCTTGATTAGCATTTTCTGAGCAGTGCGAAACCATTTATTTCTCTGAGCAATGTTTGCTGTATTCCTGAGTCTGAATTTTAAATTAGAGAAATTGACATACGGACCACACAATTCTTTTCTATTTACATATCTTGAACCTAAATTTGCATATTTTCGTATATGTAACATTGTAGTTCTTTATACCTATGCATGAAAAGATGTATTTGACTTTTAAAAGTGGTAATAGTGGTATTTTTATTTGATATTAAAGATTGAAGTGTTATGTATGTTAATATGAAAGTTTAGGTGTGAGATACATAAATACACGAGAATTGTGTGCTCGGTGACCACTGACCGGATCAAGGTCATGAAAGCTCGCCCTGATTTGTTTTTTTTTAACAATTTAAATCTTGGTTGTCCATCCTATTATTGAAGTTGACCTGGGAACCTTATTTTCATCCATTCATTGTTGTATGCATATAACTGTGTATATTTGATTTGAGCTAATGGTTTTAAGGTAATTTTAAATTAATTCAAAATTCAAGTACTTTCTTAAATTTAGTCTAGTAATTTTTGCAGAAAACTTTATATAGTTTAGCATTTTCGTGAGATAACAGTTCTAAATTTGATGAGTGCTGCATTTATCGTATTTTTGAAGAGAATTACTAAAGATTGAATTTCCTGCAGAATAAATTTGTTAAATTAGTTGGTGAAAAAAAAATTAGTAAAAAATTTTCCTCACTTGATGCTTTACTTATTATAAACATAAAACTAATCTTAGGCTTTTTGTTTATGCATTCAGGCCTTGCAAGGTTATGCATGAAGTATGCGTGCGTTGTAGTGTGTTTGGGAAAAAAAATTCGTAGGCTTTTGCTTGAGATGTCCTAACCAACTCAACGTAATTTTATTTGGAGCCCTATCAAATTACTATTTCTAATAAAATGTATTACTGTAATATCATATCAGGAAAACTAAATTAGTTTGCCTAATTTATCAAAAAAAAAAAAAGGCCCAATGACACGAGTAACATTGAAAAAAGGGGAAAATTTACATAGGTAGCCGGAAGTTTCAATGTATCCATGCATCTACAGCTAAAGTTTTATATTTACATACACAGCTCTTTGTTTTGAATTTATGCTTGAAAATATGATTTTCACTTTTAAAAGTGATGATGGTGTTTGTTTTTTGGTGTGATATTAAAGATTTGAGTGTTGTGTGTTAATATCAAAATTTAGGTGTAAGATATGTAAATACATGAGAATTGTGTGCTATGTATGTAAATGCTGACAAAAAATGCAATATTATATCAGGTTTTATCATGATATCCAAAATTTATAACAAAATTTCTATAATGTAAGAAAGCTAAAAAAATGTTGGCACAACTTCAGGGTATAAAAAAGGGGCATTGAAGTATCTAAATGCATGGGAATTGAGGGGTATGTTAGTAAATCTTCCTATAAAAATTTGTTCTTATGTGCAAAAAATTAATATTTAAAGAAATGTGTCTTCCTTGAAATGCCTTGACATACTTAATTGGCTAAAGCTTTGTTTGGGGCAGCTTATAAATGTGTTTTTCGTTGTGAAAACGCTGAAGGGACGTTTGTTTCGTGTGTTTGGACTGCTTATCTGGAACCAACATTTCGATTCGTTTATTAAACGTGGCTACGAGATCTACCCCGTTGCTCACGTCCTTAATTTAGCCTATTAATCTTGCGCCCTTCTGTTGATCCCTCTCTTCGCTCGACCATTGTTTTGTCCTAGGTAACTCTTCGTGCGTCTTTCTCACTCGGTTGCTCCTATCTCGCAATTAGCAGTGTCTTTCACCTCTTCCTCCTCCCTCCAACCTCCGATTACTGTGCTCTGTAAGCAATTTCGATGGAATGCTTTTCTATATTCAATTTGTGGGTTTTTTTTTTTTTTGATGGAATGGTCATCTCTATGCATTTTTTTGATGAAATGACTTTCTTTGCTAGATTTTTCGATTTTTGGATAATTTGGAGAATTGGTGACAGTGACTTGGTGAATGAGGTAGTACCTTGTGGCTTTATGTGATTCTTCGTTGTGATTGAATGTCTACTTTGCTATATTGCAATGATTACCTTGGGTGGTGGTTGTGTGTGGTTTGTGGGCATTTATATGGTGGTTGTATTTAGTTGTGGGTGTGTGCAATGTGTGTTGTGGTTGTGGGTGTCGGTGTGGTTGTATTGTGTGGGGCTTGGTTAGGTGGTGGTTGTGTTGGGGTTGTGTGTGTGCTATGTGTTGTGTTGGCCTTGGGTGGTGGTTGTTTGTAGTTTGTGGACATATATATGGTGGTTGTATTTGGTTGTGGGTGTATCTGTTGTTGTATATGATGGTTGTCTTTGGATTTGGGCTTAAATTTTACATGTATAACATACAATTCTGATGTATTTGGTAGTGAATATGTGTGACTATGTCTGGTTGGCCTTGGGTGCTATGTGTTGTGATTTATGTTGTGTTTAACAAAAAACACTCCTTATGTAACGTAATTGAAAGAACATTTTGACTATGGAAGAAGAAATGAGTCGTACTGCATGATAAACAAACGTATTCATTTCCAAAACAAGTGTAGATTGTAGTGGCCATGATAGCGCTCCACAACAACATTCGACGACATCATTCTTGAATAGATGTAAACTTCAGCATGACTGACGATGATCATATGCAGGTCCTGCCAGAAGTATTTTCATTTCAGGGAGGTCAATCTATAGTACAACCAGAGGCAAAGTCGCGTGAAGGTTACACTCAAGATGGCGAGGGCGCAGCAGAAATAGTTGAATTGTGAGAGCAGATCACAGGCGCCGTTGTTGGTCATGACAAGGTTGGATGTCTTCTTGTAGTGACAGATTCGTCGGTTGGTATACTTTGTTCTTTGAGACCTCACACCTGTAAAAAATTGTAATTAATTACTTCTTTCATCAATTTCAACTTCTATTATGACTAATAAATTGTTTTTTGAATCATTCAATAAAGATGAACTACAGGATTTCAGGGACCTCCCGACGAGTGCTCTGCCACTGCGGACGACAGACTTATCTACTGACGTCACGTTGGACATATAACAACCGGAGACAGTTTTATAGGTGCCCAAGGGGCATCACAGAGAAGTTAATTTCTTTTGGTAGGCAGACAATCCGACAGATTCCACAGTCGATAGTGATCGAGATAGCTCGTGACATAGGTCATCTGGATTTTAAAATTAATATTATCATATTTTAAATTATAATTTTTATAGTTTTTTTTTTCTTTTTTTATCGATCTTGATATTAAATATTAATTGAGATATGTATCTTATTTTTTGTATTATTTTGAAGTCGTTTTTTGCTTCTCAAGTATCAAATATATTGCTATGACAGTTCTGTTGCAAACAACATTACTGCACAGTGGCAGAATGATCATTTATCGAGAAACAGCTGTAAAAATAGCATTAATCAAACAACCAACCAACTTATCTGGATCAGCTGCTCATCATCAGCTTATCTAAATCAGTTGTTTATCAATAGTTTATTAATAAGCTGCTTTATTTCAATGAATGTATGTAAATCAGTAAATGTTATCAAATATTGGACTATAAATAATATGGGCCTCGCATGATGTAATATATATTTATATATGATGTTTTATATAATAGATTATAAATTATCTGTTATTCCTTATTAAACAAAATACAAATCAGAAAGGTTAACTAACACCACCTAAACCACTAAAATACAAATTTTTTCCCTAGAATTGGCAGTGCTAGAGGGAGAAGCCCGCTATCTAGCAGGTCAAGACACCGCTATGGCATGTTGGGGGGCGCCGCCGCCCTCTCCCGCGCCACATCGCTAGGGCGGCTCAACCCTTCGGTAGCGCCGCACCCTATACCACACCTCCAGCGGGCGGTGTCCTGATCCCGCTCCTCTAAGGCCCATCCTTTTAATCCTTCCTCCCATCGCACCCACACCTACACCGTCGGGAAGGGGGGATTATTGCGTGCGGACACCACATGCATCTCTGCATGCGGTGTTCGATCCTGGCCGTAGATCACGGTGATCTACGGTCAGGATTATTTCCGTTTTTTCCACTGAAATACATCAGGTCCGGCGTCCGGACGCCGATTCGCATGGAATAATTTTTCCACACCTACACTCACCCACCCACGCATTACTCTCCATCACCGCCGCTTTCGCCTCCATATGGCCTCCGCTTCCCCGTCCTCCTCCGCTGCTGCTGGTGCTACGGCTAGCCCCGCCGCCTCCCCATTCCCATTCCCGGCCGTTCCCCCTCGTTCTCTTCCTCACTCATCCCGCCGCTTCCCCCCTCCCTGCTGGTCCTACGAAGATACCCTAGCCCTCATCGACGCCTACGGCGATAAGTGGCATTCCCTCGGCCGTGGAAACCTCCGTGCCTCACACTGGGACGATGTCGCAGCCGCCGTTGCACGCGAGTGCCCCTCTTCCTCCGCCGTACCCAAAACCTCCGTCCAGTGCCGCCACAAAATCGAGAAGCTCCGCAAGCGCTACCGATCAGAGAAGCAGCGATCACTTTTCTCCTGGCTTTACTTCCGTAAGATGGACGCCATGGAGCGCGGCGCGGCGGCAGCGGAGGAAGCTGGTCTTCGGTTCACGATACCCAAGGCTGTACGCTCTAAGCTAGTTGGATTCCGACCGAGTCCAAGGGCTGCGATCAAGCCGGTGTTGGAGGAGATGCGAAGGCGAGTGGAGGAGAAGAGGATGAAGATGAGGAGGAATGACGATGGGATCCGGGATGTGGCTTCTGCACTTGGTATTTTTGGGGAGGAATTTTTTAGAATGGAGCAGATGAAGGTGGATGTGTCGAGGGAGATGGAAAAAATGAGGATGGAGATGGAATTGAAGCGGACCGAAATGATTTTGGATTGTCAGCGACAGATCGTCGAAACCATGGTTCACAGATTTATGGGGAAGTAGCGTCTTTGTTGTTCTTGAGGGAAAAAGACACCGCCATTTTTTAAGGGAAATATTTGCGTACGTAATACGCTTTAAAGCGGTAAGTGTATGTAATTATATTGCTTTTCAACTCGATGAAGAACTGGTTTACGCTCGAGGAAAAATCTGGGCTTTGACAGATTTACTAGGGTTACCGTTTAGCTTTGTAGAACAAAGGTTAATTGTCTTCTTTGGGTGAGTAAGACGCATTCACTTTCTTCTGTATTTCAATCATCTCTGGTTCATTCTTGTTGTTTTCCTTTTATTTTATTTTTTTCTGGCAATAAAGCAGGTGGATTTTATCTTCTTTTCGTTGGCCTATAAAATTGTGAATCTTGGATGATTCGCTCGTCCTTTCACTAGTCCTTTCTAAGCATTACCTAAAATGGTCATAATCTATTAGTCATAATTAGTTATATGCTTCTCTTTACCAACTTAAATACTTGCAATTTCTGCAATGTAATTACTCATGCTGACCTAATTTATTTGCGCCACGGAATTTGTAGAGTTTGGCAGTAGAACTTCTGAGAAAACTATACATTTTTTGGTTACATGATCGTATTAATCAGTTCTCTCATAATAGTTTGCAAAAATATTACAGAATTGAGTAAGCAGGAATAATAAAGATGAGATTTTTAATGCAAGCTTGAGAAGTACCTTGGGTCACATTCCTATTATGATTACATTAGTAGATGTTACCTCCATTGGCACTTCACTGCTTGCTAAGGTAAACTCTTAAGGGTTGGCCACATATGCTTACGTAAATGAGTGACTTTTAATTTTCATTTTTGGAAAAACTCCCTCACAGCCCTTTTTAATGTTTTTTGCAAAGCAAGCTCTAGGGACTCTGTGTTGAATTTAGCCAAGCTTTACCGAACTTTTGTTTTGATTGATTTTTGTTTAAATTGTTTTTAATACACATTTCTTAAGTTTGTAGATATTTCAGTGGTGCTGTAACCAAATTATAAACATTATTTGTTCAACGAATTTCCTTTGAGTTTAGAATTAATTGGCTCCATTGAGCAGGTGCTTGTTATTTGGCTTTAGAGTTTCACAATCACACTCTCAGCCATTTCACAATCACAATCTCATGTGGCACCAGCATATTTGGTTTCCAGGTATATCTAGTTTTGATTTGTGATATTACTTAGTTGTGTGCTTGTTATTTTGTCTTATTCCTCGGGATTGTAGCAGGTCTCGATAGCAACAATTGTTTAACCAAATGAAACCTCGAGGAATATATATTTTTGTCAAATACTGATTCTATAGTATATTGTTTGTTTGGCCTGTAGGCTGTTGATGTTTTTCTACTAGGAGTTGAAAAAGCCTCTATGAAGTGCACGACTTGCTGCATTTTTTTTTTTCCTTGTCAATCTAGTGGAATGTGTATGGTCAAATAACCGGCAATTCAGCTGAAATCTATGTTCACTTGGGTTGATTCGCTCTTGGATCCAAGCCGGATCCATTCAAATGCCAACTCAGCAGAATCATGCGAAACTACTCATCAACCCTCCATGATGACTGCTAATTTGCAGCCTGATTGTAGCAACTTGAGAGCTCGTCCATTCGTCAACTCATTACCGCAGTCTTGGTCATTAGTTAGGTTGACAACCCTCCTACTAGGCAGCTAGGCACCTTCTACATTATTACATATTTTTTTTGTTTCCTTTTTCTTCTTTCTGTGTAGACAACCATGTAGCGTAGTCAATATCATTCAGGATAAGCAATTATCATACGCAATCACCATGATTCTGAGCAATAAAAATTTTATTGACTCCTTTTCTATTGACTCCTTTTCTCTGAGCAATACAATCTTATAGCTTCTCTGTCTAAAGCTCTCTCTCTCTCTCTCTCTCTCTCTCTCGCGGATCCAAAGAATGCATCTCTTAGCTGATATTTACCATGGTTTTTGTAAAATTTTGTTTATAGATTTCCTAAAAAAAAAAATTATAACAAGCGATCTTTTGTTCATATGCCTTGATGTATCTATTTTTGTTCCATATTTCTATTATTCATGATTTAGTTTTTGAATAATCAGTTTTCCGATCTCATGGCATTACGAAATTATTAAGCTTCATATTGTAATGCTCTTCCCTACGTTGCTGCAGGAAGATAACGTTATTATTGTAGGGATGAATGGGCTAAGCGTTGCCCATAGACCATAGTTGTTATAAGTTTGAAGCAACTTCCTAACCTGTTTTCAAATTGATTTTCTCCATTAATCTGTTTGAAGCTGCTTCCTTGGTACATATCACATGATTCTTATGTATTTACAAATCTAAAAACTTAATTTAAAATTACTTGTATAACACTTTTGTGAGTGCGATGTAATGGTTTCTACCTCTACAGAAGGTCACATAACTCCCTTCATGGCTCTCTTCAGAAACTCACATAAAAACCCATGCATCAAACTAAAAATATGGAAGTAGAATCATAATGACATAATTAAATATAGATTGCATGCCATAAGCACAATCAACCTATTTTATAAAGAAATAGAGTAGTGCAATAAACTTATTCATATACTCATCTGATCATATGTGCATCTACTAGTATTATCAAAGTTTGATTGATAGTACTCAATTAATTCATCACCAGTCGACATGATGAACTTTTAAATATCTGCAACAACAAATACAATTATTAAAATATCAATGAAGTTTTTTATAAACGTAAAAAAAATATATACTTTGACATTTTTGAGGCAAAATATCATAACTAAGATGGGATGTTTTACTAAAAAGCATACTTTGAAGCTTTAACTTGGATTAGAATGAATTCTATTTTCAAAGGTAAACCTTTTTTTTTTTTTTTTTGGATTGTATTGAGGTTTTTAAATTCATCATACGTTGCCCAAAAACACCTTTAAAATAGTTCCTCTTCTTCAAGTTCCTTATAAGGACCCCTTTGTAAATGACAAAAAAGTAGTTGTAAGCCTCTCAATACATAAATAAACCAACAAGTATAATTTTAGCTTCCAATTGTTATAAAAGTTTCAAATAGATTCTTAAAAACCAACATCAGAGCACTCCACCCAATGCTATCTTTCATAAATGAAGTCTTACGAATGCATTGTTGTCATCTCTTATGTTGATTTGTGCCTCTTAAAGCTATGAATTGGATACCATAACGAACTACAGGTTCATATCCAGTGAAGTTGTTATAAATGATCCACCCAAGTTGCTAATGGAGCCATATAGAAAATGCTGAAAAGTATGGATAATGATGAGCTCGTTTCAATTCCAATTAAGGCGGAGCAATGGGTGTTGCAAGATGGCTTATCCCTTTTGATGAGACTTTTGATGAGAAGGTGCTTGAATATCTTAAACGACACAATATTCTATTATGGCTGAGTTACGATTCTAACTTTACCAAATAAAAAAAAAGAAGTAAATTTGAAGAATTTTTTTTTCTTTTTTGTGGTTAGAGAACATAGGAGCATTGATCATGAATTAAATGAATTTTGAAGCCCTTCTTAGTGGTTTCTACACTATAAGAAAAGGTCCATATATGGCTGAGTTACATAATGCATTTAATAGGTATATTACAAAAATCTATAAAGCCTCTTGTATGTGAAAAATATGTCAGTAAAAACGGCTCGGAAGGAACAACCGATCGGACATTCTTGTTGGCGGGCGATGGATTGGATGCTAGAGAAAAAGACGTCTTGATCGAGTGATTTGAAGAACGTGTCAAAGGATTCCCCACAAGACGTCTAGGTCAACCATGACGCTTGCGGAAGCCATTCGAGGAGGTGCGAAAGTTGGAGGAACCAGGGTACATTCGAGACGTGCAGTACCCCACATGGATCCAACGTGTTGATGGTACAGAAGGCTAATGAAAAATGGAAGTTGAGCGTAGATTTCACTAAGCTAAACTTAGGCTGCCCAAAGGGTGCATACCTGCTACTAAGGATTGATGCTCTGGTAGATTATGCAGTCGACCACTCAGTTCTAAGCTTCTTGACGTATTCTCTAGTATCATCAGATCAAAATGCATTCTGTAGACACAAAAAAAAACCTCTTTTATTACTTATGAGGGAGCCTATTGTTATAATATAATACCCTTCGGGCTTAAGAATGCAGGATATCATTTTTGCTATTAAAAAATTAATAAACATTGTAATTTATGTGGGTGATGTGTTAGTTAAGAGTCGTCGATCAAACAACACATCAATGAAAAGAAACACTCCAAAATTTAACATGAGATTAAACCACCCATTCAAATGTATCTTTGGATCCATGATGGGCAAATTCTTGGGACACCTGATAAACCTGGAAGGCATAAAAGCTAATCCAACAAAGATTCAAGCACTCTTCAACATGCCCGCCCCTAGAAACACCAACGAAATCCATAACCTGACTGGTCAGATCACAGGGATGAGCCGGTTCATCTCCAAATCAAGAGATAAATGTGCTTCATTCTTCAAAGTACTTAGGAAAGCCCAATGTTTTGATTGGAAGCCTGAATGTGAGGAAGCCTTCAAAAACCTCAAAGAGTTCCTCGCCTCTCCTCCTCTCTTTTAGAGCCCTAAACTGAAGAAAAAAAAAATTTAATTTACTTGGGAGTCGGCCCTGAAGCCATTAATTCCGTCTTTGTCAGAGAAGAACTCAAAAAACAACACTCAGTATACTACATCAGCCGGGTCCTCAAAGATGTTGAGTTCACATATCCTATAATAGAGAAGCTAATCTTTGCCTCGGTCATTTTATCATGAAGGCTACGACTGTACTTCTAAATACACCCTATACAGGTTGTCACTGACCACTTGTTGAAGTCTATCCTCACCTGACCGGAGCACTGCTACCGACTACTCAAATGGGTCATGGAACTCAACGAGTTTGACATCTCCTACATCCCCGGAATAACGATAAAGGTGTAGACTGTTGCAAACTTCCTAGCCAACTCCTCCAAGCCACATGACTCAAAGGAATACCTTCGATCAATGAGGTTGCATGGACCTTGTTCATGGATGAGGCCTCCAGTAGATTAGGCGCTGGACTCGGAGTTTTTATGTGCAGTCAAACAAGGGAAAACATTCATCACTCAATCGAGGTAATTTTCTCATTAACTAACAAGCAGGCATAATACTAGGCTTTGATTGCAGGTCTTCGCTTGGCCTCGAAAATGGGAGTCCTCATATTAGTAAAAGCCGACTCGCAACTGGTGGTGAACCAAATCAATGGAGAGTTTGAAACAAGTTATGAGATGATGGCAAAGTATCTCGAAAAGATAGAGACGGAGATCGACTAATTCACTAGTTTCAAAATTGAGCACGTTTGAAGAGAAGAAAGTCATATCACTGACCTTCTACTTGGAGCCTTCACCTAGAAGAGGTCAACCTCAAAATCTCGATTGACCTTCGATCATAGAACCACTAGCAGTGGAAATCCATGGTGAAGAAAAGAATAGTTGGATGAACCCGTATGTCCACTACCTAAATACAGGGAAGATCGATGAAGAGATCACTAACCACGAGAGATTCAAACTCAGAACTACCCATTAGTTATTAGTTGAGGGAAAACTCTTCAGAACATCACCACGTCCTTGTACTTAAAGTGTTTTGGAGAAGACGAAGTTGAAGACATACTTCGGGAAGTTCATGATAAGGAATGTGGAAGTCATCCGGAAGAAAGACACTAGCTTACCGAATCTAGGGGCAGGGGTATGTCTGGCCAAAACTGCTCAAAGACATCAAGGAATATTCTTGAAGGCGCACACAGTGTCAAAAGTACAGACCATTGCACCATCAACCGGCCCAAAAATTTCACCTGATCGTCAACCCTTGGTCGTTCGCCATCTGAGGCGTCGGCATGCTCAGATATTTTCTCCATCCAGAGGACAATTAAAGTTCCTACTGGTGGTCATTGACTACTTCTCCAAATGAATAGAAATTTAATCAACATCCTTCTGCAAATAATGACGACCTACTACTCACTGCAAAGAGGAAGGCCAACCGAATGGAGATGAAGGCGTGGTGAACGGGTAAAAACCTTTTTTTTTTGTTGCTTACCAAACAGTCATTCATATTTTAATCATCAATTCTTTAATTTATTTATTAAATTTTGATTTTAATTGTTCTCTTTAAGACCTACCAGCTTTCGGGGGTTGATGGTTTGTTTTATCACTTGATCATTCCATCATTCTGGTAAACTTAGCATTTTAATAGATTAAAAATGGAGCGATCATTGCCTGATTTGCCTTAGTCAAAATGGGATCGTTGGGCTATATACACCCAAAATTTAAATGAGGTTTGATCATTTGAACGATTGAAAATTTCTCAAATATATTTTTATTGTTTGATTAAAGCTCATTTAGAATCCAAGCATGTATATTATGCAACTACAAAGATTAGAAATAAAGAATTGCTACATCCTAGATAGTGTTGCAAGAAGTCAACTGAGAGTTGTGGAAGATGAGATATTGTCGTAAGTATGGAGCTCTCCTCTTTCTATTGCTCTGACAACTTTAAATGATCGTTCAACAACGTCATTGGTATAGCTAGGTGAATGCAGGCGAGCTCGGTGAAAGATCTCGATAATTACAAATGAGCTCGGTGGAGGATCCCACACGAATACTGGGTAGCTTGTTGAAAGAACTCGCTAAGTCCTTGTGCGATGCGATGACATGGGAATCTCAAAATGACGAATGGGTGTAGTCTAAATCAACTACTTTCCATTTTTGGACTAAGGAAAATTGCCGAACCCATAAAGAGTGTGTGGCCACCGCAATATGGTTGTTTCCAACCAGAGTAACATGAAAATTTAATTAGGCTCAAGAACCAACCACTAGGCTTTTAGATGCGCTGAAATCACCTAATTTGGGCAGTAGAATTCAATGGCCGAATTGCGCACTTGAATTGGTGGGTATGCATTTGCAAATTTCAAATTTTTTTTTCCATTTTTCTATATGAAATATGGTTGAATCCACGACTATAAACATGATTTCTGCTGTATCATGACTAATTAATTCTCATATTTTCTTAACAGTTTATGATTTTTATTTTGTTTATACTTTTTGTTACATTTTATTTTATTTTTGGATTATATTTATATTACTGTGAGCTATTTATTCTAATACAACCTTTTGTTCTGACCTTTTCAATATGACATTTCATCTTAGTCGCATATTTAATAATGATATTTCTTATAAAAGTATGGTTCATTGATTTTGTTGTAAAAAATATGATTAAAAATATTATTTATTTTATTTAAAATAGTCAAGGCTTTTAAAATGACGTAGGATGATGTCGTCTTTGAAAATGCTAAATCCGGAATTAATATTCCTAATGTGCTTTTTCGGCTCGAAAGAATTTGGATGAATGTGAACGTATTTTATTTAATTGTTTTATTTTTTGCTTTTAATTTCGATATAACGATATAACAATCATTCCATTAATTTTTTTTATAAAAAATTTGAAAGAATTGATTTTTATTAGTATGTATTCCTCCTAAGGAGATCTAATTGTCTAAAAAAAAGTACAACAAATGAGAGCTCACCAATAGAATACAATGAGACTGGCTTGTCTTACCGTATGAAGTTGTTTGAGCCGAAACTAGCAAAGTCAAAGCCAACCGAGCCACGGGAATAATTAAAAAACGACAAATGATGTGTGTCTGAATCATTGTGTCAAAAACTAAATCAAGAGTCATCTAAGCCAACCACAATTGTAAACTAATCCAAGAGAATATCTAGTCCATCGGCATCACCAATCATCCCAAGGATGCCTGGAAACTCCTCATAAGAGGTCAAAGATCAACATTCTGGCCATATCAACTGACCAACCTAAATTGACTAAACACAACTGATCGAGCTAATCTTATTGACATGAATCTAATTAAGTCTAGCTAACCTAGCCATAAAGCAGTCATACAATAGACTTACCAATGTAAAATATCAAAAATATCCTGGCCAAGATCCCATTAAAGTAGAGTTAAAAATATAACATCATGTTTTATATCTTTCCTATAATAAGGAGATTATTTCATGAATAAAACGCAGCTATTTATTATTTATTAATATTCACTATTATATAAATTATTGTATTTATTTATATAACATCTAATGGTTAAATAAAAACTAAATATATAAACAAATTATTTAATTTTACATGAATTAATATTAATAATTAAATAATTAAGACAACATGAATGAATATAAAAATTTGAGTATTAAATATATGTAACAACAATTCAGCGAGAAATATGCAGAAGAAAACAAAAGACTCAATGTAGAAATCAATTTTCCGATGACCACCATGAAAAATGACGGGGCAAAAGTACCCCGTCTCCCTGCTGCTTGTAGTGCTCCTTGTCAGCCGTGGCCACATATAACTGCTTGTAGTGCTCCTTGTCAGCCGTGGCCACATATAAGTACGTGCCCTCCATCATATTCCTTGAAAACAATCCAATCACATCCAAAATGAACGCCAATTCCAGCACAGTCTTCCCTTTTGGTCTCCCCTCCCACCGCACTCCAACATCCAACCAAAGCCATGAAAAATTACAGCTTCAATTTCCTCTCCTCCCACCTCCTTGGATCCCCAAAGCCCCCTTCGCTGACCCTTCACTACCGAAACACACCACTGAGCTCTCACTAGCGATCAAAGAGGTCCAATCTTTGCTCTCCCTTGCCATTCCAATGGCAGCCAACGGTCTTCTCCTCTACTCCCGCTCCATCATCTCTATGCTCTTCCTCGGCCACCTCGGCCCCCTCCCTCTCGCCGGTGGCTCCCTCGCCATTGGCTTCGCCAACATAACTGGCTATTCCCTCCTTTCCGGCCTCGCCGCTGGCATGGATCCTATCTGCGGCCAAGCGGCGGGGGCCCGCCAGAAGGCGCTTTTTCTCCCTTTCCGCCGCACAATCCTCCTCCTCCTCGCCGCCTCGCTCCCCATTGCTCTTGCCTGGTCCTTCATCCGCTCTCTCCTCCTTCTCTTCGGCCAACCCGAAGACATCACCCTTGCCGCTGAGTCTTACCTTCTCTGCTGCCTCCCCGACCTTTTCTTCCACTCCATCCTCCACCCTCTCCGAATCTTCCTCCGCTCACAGTCCATCACTCTCCCCCTCGCCTACTCCGCCGCCATTGCCCTCTTTCTCCACATTCCAACAAACTACCTCTTCGTCTCCCTCCTCGGACTCGGCATACGCGGAGTCGCGCTTTCGGCAGTGATCACCAATCTCAACATTACCCTCTTCCTCCTCGCCTACGTCCACCTCTCCGGGCTATACAACCATGGCATTAACAGCAGCGCCGATGACCGCCGAGAATTCAAATGCGGGTGCGGCGCGCTCGCGTTAATCAGCCTTGCTCTGCCTAGCTGCGTCTCAGTATGTCTTGAATGGTGGTGGTACGAAATCATGGTCCTCCTCTGCGGCCGACTCCTCGACCCTAGGTCCACCGTTGCTTCAATGGGAATTCTAATTCAAACCACCTCATTAATATACATATTCCCTTCCTCACTCAGCTTCGGAATCTCAACGCGGGTAAGCAACGAGCTGGGCGCCGGAAGGCCGGAGAGCGCTCGTCGGTCCGCATCGATTGGTGTCGCGTGCGGCGCAGGGCTTGGCTGCGTAGCCTTCTGCTTCGCGCTCGCTGTGCGGGGTAAATGGGCCAAGATGTTTACTGCTGACGCCGAAATAGCAGAGCTGACAGCTTGTGTAATGCTAGTACTTGGTCTTTGTGAGCTTGGAAACTGCCCGCAAACAGCGGGGTGTGGTGCGTTGAGAGGCAGCGCACGGCCGCGAATCGGAGTTAAGATAAATGTATGGGCGTTCTACGGAATAGGAATGCCAGTTGCCTCTGGGCTGGCGTTTTGGGCAGGTTGGGGTTTTCGCGGGCTGTGGATGGGACTATTGGCGGCGCAGGGGACTTGTCTGGCGTTGATGCTACTTGTCCTTCGTCGAACGGACTGGCGGATGGAGGCGGAGCGCGCGCAGCGGCTTGTTGCAGGGGAAGCAATTCTCCGGCCGTTGAAAAAGACTTCTATGAACAATGAACAGTAGTGATAACTGATAACCAAGCTCTTTCCTGTTAGGCAGTAGCAAAGGGAGTGGCGGCGGCAGCCCCAGCGACGCCGGCGGTGATCCTTGGAAATTTAACAGCAACAATATATATCTGGGTAGTACAATGGTCCGTTTTACTTTTTAATGATTGTGTTTGTCCTATTGGAGCTGTCGAGTGGGTCATCTTCACAGCTGGGCAGAATAGCTGGATAAGCATGGGATGGGAGAACAGGGAGGCCATGTTTATAACTATATTTGGAGAAAAATCTTTCTTCTCGATAGACTGTCAAATTTGTGAGTGTTACGACATTGTTATACTATATCAGCACTGTTTTCAATACAGTTGATTCAACCAAATGAATGGCCTGCGGATGAGGACTTTGGAATGACAAGATAATGTTATTAATTTCATCCAGCTCTGTGTAACTATTTTATGGTAAAAAAAAAATTATATAGATTTGGAATTATGATGAAGAAACATACGCACATGCATCACAGCGCACACACTTTGCATCAGCTTCCACATATTTGATTATTCTGCTAAGAACAAACAGTCTTTGGCTATTAATATTAAAGCTTCTAAAGGGCAACTCAATCGAGGGAATATATTTTGATTTATTTGGCCTGTTTGGTCCGCTGAGAAATAAATGATTATACAATATATTCTGATTCTAATATATTCTAGATAATGAGAAGTTTTTTGGTTGTGAAATAAATGTGAGAGAATTTTTTTTTCTTATTGATTAGATGTATGCAGAGTAAAAAATAATAATGTATTCTGAATTTTTATGAGTTGTACTTTGAAGGTGGCCCACATGCGTCAAAATAAGGTCTAATTGCTTCGTGCGGAGAGCGCATGTAGAGCTCTGATCACAACCGCACATCACCGCTGTATGAGCGGCGATGTTGAACCACTGTCATACAGCGGCGATGTGTCACTGTGATCGAAGCTATGCGTGCGCTCTCCGCGTGCAATAATCACTCCAAAATAGGGCCGATGAAAGCTAAATTGTCATTGACGCAGGCTTTTGAGAGGTTTTGTCTTTAGAATGGGGGGCGTAATTGGGATTCTTACAAGCACTTGAAGGAATGGTCTTTGCGATTTGGGTGATTGATGGGCAGCCTACCGTAAATGCTTCCTTTAAGATCACATACATGCTTATTCCTAATTCTCCATAACAAATCTGGGGGTTTTAAGGGGATGGAATTTGGAATACCATAAATGCGTGTGACATGAGCCAAATTTACATATTTTTTATGTGTTTAATTCTTTATTTATTTTTTCTTATTTATCACGATTTTTTGTTTGTGAAAGGTTGTTTGTGGTGTTTCGCAGGTTACATGCGGTCAAATTTGTATAACAAAGTGAGAAAACAGTAAAGTCAAAGAAGAAAAATTGATGTAACCATGCCCAAAATCAACAAGATTCTGCCACCTTCTCTATATTATAAATGTAACTATGCCAGCTTTGGTGGCCACGCTGTGTGCGGCGTGGTTGCATCTCTTCTTTGACCATTATGTGTTATTATGAATTATGTGGTCATGCTAGCAATGGGCATGGTCATGCTAGCAATGGGCATGGTCATGCTGCGAAGGCCCCCTCTCAACTTGGTAAGAGCTTTCAAGCCAAACTTGGATGGCAGCTTAAAAAGAGGAGGTTGGGGGACGACTTGGTGCATCTGGTGAAGGCTGAAGGTTAGGTTTTTCTGGACAGAGGGTCCTTGTGAGTGCCTTAGAGGTTTCTCTTCTTCTTCCTTAAGGGAAAAAGTTGTTAGGATTATTTTTCTTTGTACTTTGAGAGGGAGATTATGAGAGAGAGGTGTAGCTTATATGAGAGGAAGATTTGAGAGCAAATTCATTGTGCGACAAGGACAACTGCTGATTTGGAGAGTAAAATCATTGGCTGTAAGTTTTTATTTTCTTGTATTTGACTTTCTTTAATGGGTTTAATGTACTATTTCTCAGTTTTTCATCTCATGTCTTATAACTAATTCTCTTTCGTGCTTATGTGATGTAAGGTTAGATGGTTTTACATAATTTTCTGCATGTGATTTCCCCATACATGTTTCATCCGTTGTTCATGCATGTATGTGGTTGTGTTAACCTTTTGCACTTAGTTTACTCCTGCTTTAGTCAGGAAGGGTGTTAAAAACACTTGTAATCTAGAACTTCTGACCGTTGTCTGGTGGAACGATTAGGTTAACACAAAAAGTCCAGTGAAATAAACAGATTGTGATTAAGTTTTTTCAACCTAGACAGGGATTTCGATGAGTAATAGAAAATACTGCATTGTTAAGTTCTGATTAAATGTAATATGATTTTCAAGTCTTCTGACGACCTATGCATAAGCTAAAAATAAATTTGTTCCCAGTTGACAACAATCACATAGAAAATTCTTAGCAACACCACAAAAGCACACTATTTATGAGTCACAGAAGCATGAGCCTCATCCTCTCTGAAGAACACTCAAAAGTGTGCTTCTAGTTGTTTTCTGTTCTTGTAGGACTCCATTCTTGCACTTGTGATCACATCAAACTAGATTCCATAGGTTAGTAAACTAGAGATTCACATGTCAAAATAGATTTTCAACCTTTTCCTCGTGGAATCGACATGCGAACTCAAAAATTTGTACATTACTTGACGCATAAACTTAAGTGCTTGGCCAATTGCCTTACATGAACTTTTAGGCCATCAATGTGAAAGGGGAAAAAAATTCAGCTTTTCAATGTGGCTGCAAATTGGTCTGGACAACGACGTGAGATACCGATTGAAGCAAATTGGTCGGAGCAGCTTGTCAATGTGCTTCCATGGATATCCTTCAATGTTGGGGGGCTTAATATTCGTGTAAAAATTCTCTTTAATTTTCTCTCATTCTATCATGGTATCTAAACAAAATTGTTTTGGGCCTAGCTTTTATAAGCCATCTACCAATTTAGAGTACTTTGTCATGCAAAAATAATGCAAAAGCATAGAAATTCACACAACATCAATCTAACACAAAAGATTTATGTGGTTCTTTGCTAATTTGCCTACATCCACATGGAGGGAGATTCCACTAGAGTTTAGAGGAAGAAAAATGACTCGAGGTTACTGCTCAACACTTCCTCAGCATACAACTCTCATAAGCCCTAAGTCATTTTCATAGAGGAGGACTAGAGCATCAAATAAATAATGCCAAAAGATAAAATTACCCCAAATTAAATAAAAAATTATAAATACAACAATCTCCACCTCATCTCTTACTTTCAAATAAGTGAGAGATGACCAAATGAGCTCTAAACTCCAATTCAGCTGCACCAAAATAGGTATCCATGTATCCCCTCTCAAATGTATCAAGCATCGTGTAGCTTTTCAAAATACCTTCCTGTGCAAGCAATCCTGAGCTTGGATGTTCACCAAATTTCTGCATTAGGTGTACTTCTGGACTGGTAGTACCTTCATGAGCATGTGATCCCAAAACTGCTTATATGCAACAGTATAACAATGACTTTAATTATATTTTTCACTTATATTTCCTTATTTTATAACAGTGCCAAAAATCTGATCCTGAAGAAAATAAGAATTTAACTTTTCAATTTATATATATTGGGATACTACGCAAGTATACATATCGTTATCAAGTAATATAGGACTTTTTTATTAAGACTTGAATATCAAACCCACAGGGAGAATACAAACCCACAGGTAGGGCTGTCAAAAAAGTTCGTTGTCCGCGAACAGTTTGTGTTCGGTTCGTCAATGAGTTCGTAGCAACTTTGTATTCTAAAAAATACAATTACTTAAACTACAAATATTTTCTCAGTATTTAAAATTCAAATCTTTTTGGTATTTTTGATATATTGACAGAACATTAACAATTTAAAAAGACAACTTGAGTTTATGTAAAAGAAAAGTACTAAATTTAAAAAAATATTTTTCTTGTTATCATGAATCAGTAATAGGTATAGGAATTTTGTTGTGGAAGTATGCAAATTGTGTTTTATCAAATAAGAGCAATTATATTCTTTACGCTTACTAGAGATGCTATAAAGAACATTGGCTAATTTAAAGTTTGAATAGTTCTGAAGACCAGCTAGGCGGGGAAGATACCAGCTCTCACTCTAGAGTTCCCTCGATTCCCTCCACCTGGGGGTTAACATCTCGTATCAGAACCTAAAACAATAAACCAAGTTGGGGGCTTTAACCTGTCACTTTAAAGTCCTCTAACTCTACACCCTTAAATGATTATTTCCCTATTCATTTGCACTAAATCATATAAATTACATTCTCATTCATACAACCTCATGTGATTCTTTCCAATTGTTGACTGAGACAATACCTGCCCGATTCTTACATGTTCTCACAACAAATTTTAACATCTGGATTGGCCAAATCAAGAAGTAAATGAAGTTCATGGATTTAAATCATCACAATTTCTTTCAACATTAAAAATCAATACTCTCCAAAATTTCCATCCAAAATTTAATTACTTATCATTTTAAGGAGAAAGATAAAGAAAACTACTCATAATTCATGGAGAAACAAAGTCACGCTTTAGTTTAAAAGTAGAAATCATTGTCAAACCAACAAGAAGTCTCGATTAAAACTAAAAACAGTTTAAAACAAAAGATAAAAACTTATCTCAAATCCTCCACCAAACTTTTGAAGTTCCTTTGAATCTCTTCTCTTTTATAACACTCTCTACTCTCAAAATAAAACTAAAAACAAAAGGAAAAAGTAAATTTTGTGGTGCATGAATCTCTCCACAATATTCTCCACGATCTTCTTCTCAGGACTCCAACTCTCTCTCCCTTTTCAAGCACCCACTTCAAATGTAAAAACTTCCTTCTTTTATAAATCTCCAAAAGGTGTCATGGAAACTCTTCAAAATTTGTCCACATTCGATGAATCCTCCAAAGGAGGCCTCCTTTCACAAATCTTTGAATAATATTTTCGTTCTTAGTGGTCGTAACCACCCTCTTAAGCCAATAGGTGCCTCAAATACCTCTTCAAAATTCGGCCAAATGAAGAAAATCGCCAAATAACTGCCTTTGACGCTTAAGCGCGGGGCCTCTGGCGCTTAGGTGCGGCCTTCTTTGTTTAAACGGTGCTTAAGCGCCGGATCTGGGCTTAGGTGCCAAAACACTTTAGCACAATTTTCATCTCTTTGCTCCAAGTTTGATCCTTTTTCACTCATTTTTGCATTTTTCACCTTTTTACTTGTACCTGAAAGAAAAACACACAAATACCTTCCATTAAGGCGCAATATCTCAAATATAAGTTCAAAAATGTGTCTAAAAACACTATATATTTTAGGTGTATCAAAATCCCTAAAACTTAAAATATTACTTGTCCTCAAGTGACACTTCAATCTTTAAAAACTAAATTAGTAAGATATGTATATGAGTTTCTTTAGGAGTTATTAAAATTTAGATTTAGAAATATAGTAGTCCAATTTAGAAAAAACATTCAGTAAATGTGACCAACTTAAAGTTTAGAAATTTTTAATGTTAAGAAAGATGAAAATATGAGTTACTATCTAATTCAGAAATATTGTAGAT